GGAAGTAAAATTGTCTAAAATAGCTAGAAAAAAAGACCAATTTGCATAAAAAGGTTTAACCCCAGAAGAGCCATCTGAGATATACAAATCAACCAGTTTGGGTAACATAAGTCAGTGTTAAATATTTCTCATAGTATACGCTGTGATTTAATCAGGAGCCTATCCCAGCCGTCTTCGGGCAGTAGGCGAGTGACACCCTGAACCAGTTGCCGGCCAATCGCAGGGCACACAGAAATGAACAACCATCTGTGCTCACACTCACACCTAGGGACAATTTAGAGTGTTCCATTAGCCTGCCATGCATGTTTTTGGAATGTGGGAGGAAACTGGAGGACACAGAGAAAAACCCACGCAGGCATGGGAAGAACATGCAAACTCAACACAGGAAGGCCGGAGCCGGGATCGAACCCACGACCTCTGCATTGTGAGGTAACCTAACCACTCGAAGACCGGGCCGCGCATATATTATACAAATATATATATATATATATATATATATATATATATATATATATGCAAAAGAGGTGGGATGAAAATTAGTCTGCTGAACATGCTTGTGTTTTAAGCTGAGTTTGCATTTTCTATATTTAAAACACTTTGTCAATGAGCAATTCCCCATTCATTCACACGTAGAAACTGTTGGTTTGGCATTCATTAGCTTTGGGAGGATCCAACCATCAATTGTGATCAGTTAATCATCATACTGTCGATGAAAAATTCTCATTCTGTGTACTTGTCCAGTGGGGTACTTTGGGTCCATGAAAATTGCACTTTAAATACATTTTACTTAAAAGAGTGATGTAAAGGAGTTCATCATTACTGGTACTGTAAAGGGTAAAGCTTTGAATTCTGTTCTTTCATTTAAGTGCGAAAACGATTTTTGTACTCTCATTTGGCCTTTAAAATAACATTGCAATACATTTAACTTGCTTTTTCATTGAAAGTAATTGGGTAGATGTGAATGCTGAATTCATCCAGTTAAGTTGCAAAGTTGTGATGTTTCTTGTTGTTTTCTCACTTTTAGCCATACTGCAATATGAATACATTATGTGCACTTTAGAAGATTTTTATTGATCGATCGATTGATTGATTTTTGCTAACTGACATTTTGCATGACTGTGCCTCGTTTTATGATGAAGCACAGCTTTGAATCACATTTATTCTACTCTGTGCCTTCTGCGACTTCCGTTTCAAGCGCTTTAGAGATGTAAAAGTACTATAGAAATACTTGATTGCAAAACCTTTGGAACATTTAGCCTAAAGGGCTGCATTATTTATTAAATTGGACATTTTACAATGTTTTTTGTTATTCTTTCTTTCTTTTAAGATCATGGGCCTGTGAGAGTATTTCTGACAAGCCATGTCAATCTAATTCACAAATATTCACAATATACAGCAAAGACTTTCTGCATGATATGGTTTCACAAAGGTAGCCTGCGGGAGAGGACTCAAATACACTCTGATAGGGCTTAAATAAAAAAAGCACTGTTAAGTCAGTTAAAGCGCATGAGAACGTCTTCACAATCAAAATATTATTTAATGAAGGTGCACCTTGATGATGTTGGGATGCCGCAGCCTGTGCAGGAGGACAACTTCCTTGCTGAGCTTGTAGGAGACCAGCTGACGGCATCCGTGGGGGTCCTTGAAGCCCTCCACGCACTTGCCCATGTCGATGCCGTGCTCGTTGACCATCTTGAGCGCCACCGGCTCCCCTCCGGCCAGCGTCACCTTCACCACCAGCTTGGTGTACCCGGAGCCGAGCACTTCCAGCGGCTGCATGTCCCGCAGAGCTCCGCAACCCAGCGGGGTCCCGTTGCTGGAGGAGCCACGCGTCAACTCGGCCCACAGATTAGAATCCCAGGTGGAGAAAGGCTCCTTGTCGCGGCCGGGAGGAAGCAGAGGGAGGATTTCTTGGTGTCTTTGCGCGAGTTGGTGGCTCAAGGCTGATCGGAGAGACGCCAACTCTTCATCCAGATCCCCGTGGCCGCTTCCGAGGCGGCGCACGCTGCCGAGGAGCAAGCAAACCAGAAAGGACAGGACCGCCACTGACAGCACGGCGGCCGCGCGTAACGACTTGCCCACGGCGGAGGGCATGTTCCACTGCCAGCGCGAGAAGGAGGACTGCTGGTGACTCGAGGGTGGAAATGAAAAGTGATCAGCTCAGTCCCTCCTCCTCCTACTCCTCGTGGAAACTCCCACCGGAGGGTGTGTCCTGCGCGCGTAACTTTACACCCGCAGGCCTGCCAGCAGGAGTTCTCGTCAGCACCCCATCATCTGCGGTATGTTTCATTGCAAACACTGAGACATACGACACAAATTTGATGATGAAACAGAAGCGTGGTGCAGCTAAGCTGCATAATAGGAGTTGTTATTTACAGAGGATAAAGAATATATGCCTGTGAGCATTGTTGTTTGCTCGGCCTGCATGTGTTGAAACAGTGACATCAAAAATAATCCAATGCTGGGTCGAAATGAGATTGCTTGATATGAAACTTTTTTTGGTTGTTTGTTTGGGACGAATAGTGCCATTTGTACTAAATAACCCAAAATGTTGGGTCAAATTGACCCAAGAAGCAGCCGGTCGCTTTTGGACCAATAATTGAATGAATTTTGATCCAACTGCTATTCGAGTGTATTCACCTCATATTATGTGATTTATGAGTGCAATTTACGGCATAAACCGGAAGTAGTGTTTTGTTTGCCTGGTAACCATTTGTGTGAGTCCACTTCCTATGGCAGTGAGGCTTAAACAATGTGCAAACGACAAACACGGTTGCGATTTTTAAGAGAAAACATTTCAATCCCGCTTCTTGCTAATGTCGCAGGGTTGGAAGATGACATAAAAATGTGGCCAGTAACATACATTCGCTGGCTACTTGCCACATGCTACATGCTGAGACAGTGAGCAATCTCAAAGGTTCTATGTCGTATCCGTACATACACAGGGGCTAAGCTTGGGGGGGTGGGGCACAATTTTTCATCAGTGCTACTGGGGGGGTCTCATGGGGTACACACACACACACACACACACACACACACACTTCCTAACCAGATATTACAAAAATTACCATGTCATTGATGATAAACATTGTACAACGTGATGAATTTACCCAATCAAAGTGACTGTGCTTCCTTCAAGCCAGTCTCATTCACGAGTCAGTTCCTTGTTGTGATTCAGTGATGCACACTAATAAATAGAAATCAGGTCACATTACCGAGATGAAAAAAAGCCTTCATCCCTGCTATGGTTCTCATTTAAAACCGCTAAACTGACTTTGATCTCTCCTTTTACTGGTCCATGCCTTTTCAAGTGGCCGCCGCGAGACTGCCAGGGTCGGGTGCCATGATTCCTATTAGGAAGCAGAGCCAGACCAGCATCCATCCTGCCAGCCGCCCTCATTAATGGCCACTTGCTTGTCACACTCGTGCTTGTCTGTTTAAGCCAGCGCACCTGAAAACCACATTATCTTGAGGTTTAAGCACTCATTCTAAGGGAAATGATACTCAAAACATCATTTCTACATTAACTCAATCAGAAAAAAAAGTCTGTAAAATAACATATTTCTTTTAACAACTGCTTATCTTGCCTGGGCGCTGTAGTTGTGTATCTTGCAATACATGATACTGTGTAATCATATTTGTCTTCTCACGTCAACAGAAATGGGTTACAGACTGGAGCCTCTAAGGATGAACACAATCCATTCATCTGCAGTGTGCACCTTCAGTTCTTTTAACACCATACATGTCAGCCACTTCTGTTGCAGCTCTTCTCATTTGTCAGGCAACCAAACCGAGTTTTCTGCAAACAGTAGTTCCTGCCGCAAACCATCCCTGTACTCAGCAGTGGTTTCTGGTATAAGCTGTATGTGTGACCGCACAGGGCAGCATATTTGAACTGTTTGTTTGTTTTTTTTGTTTTTTTAACTGGCACCAAAATGTAAATCACTGGTGTTCCTATGGAGAATCTGCACCCCCTTGTGGAGATATAAGGCGCTGTCAAGGATTTTGCTAATCAAAATCATCAATCCATCCATTTTCTAATCCACTTATCCTCTAACAAGGGTCATGGGTGTGCAGCAACCTAGCTGTTTTCGGGGCAGTTGGCGGTTTACACACTGAACTGATTGCCAACCAATCACAGGGCACACACGTTCAGTTAACCTGCCATGCATGTTTTTTGGAATGTGGGAGGAAACCGAAGTCCCCGGAGAAAACCCATGCAGGCTCAGGGAGAACAAGCAAACTCCACACAGGAAGGCTGGAGCCAGACTTGAACCCCGCACCTCTGCATTGTGAGGCCAGCATGCTAACCAGTCCAACACCGTGCCATCAACTTTGTCTACATTATTTAAAATTATCTTATGTGAATGTATTTACAAAAAGCATAGTCTTTCAATAAATTGCTACATATACAAATATGGTATGTATTGTTATAACTAGGAAAAATTACAAGCAGTCATTGAAATGACAGCTATACTTTCAAAATGATACCATTCATTTTGTGCACCAATTGATGTGCTAATCAGTTGACCAGCGTGTTGCCCAAATCAACATAATCGATGTCAAATAAGTTTGACATCTTCGTTGTTTGAAGACCTCTGTATTTGAGGGGGCTTATGAGTTATTGAGGGAATGAAGGGTATGCCAAGAGAACAGTTAACTGCAGTCGATAAGGAGCAATATCACGGAACAGCAGGGTTATGTAGGGAGTGCGAAAGGGGATCTCGCACAGGGCCCCATACAAGCAAGGGTCACCACAGCTTGTACTCTTCACTAATCATATCCAGTACTAGAAAAAATAGGAAAGCACCCAGGAGCGAAACCAGGTCGAAACCAAACTCATCGGTCTCTCTGTACTCAGACCTTCCTCCTGTTCTGATGATCTGCTTCTCAAGACTTTTCAATCTCTTAAGTACCAATATGCAAGATCTCTTGGGATACAATCATAACCATTCTCCTGGTCAACAAAGCAAAACAAAAACCAAGTCTTTCTATACCTCTTGGTGTTTATCCTGCATCTGTTTGCTGAACACACTGAGGGACATATCTCTTCCGCTACATCAGTTTTGTCACCCACGAAAGCAGGTAAAGTTTGTCTACTCCATGTTTACTGCAAAATGGATTTTGACAGAAAGGCCGACCAACAAATTACCAATCCCCCACCACGATTTAGAAATTACAGGCATTTCTTTCCATCAAATCCCTTCTTAACGTAGTTTGAACAATATTATTTATATTTGGAGGAGATAATCTACATTATGGATTTTCACAGTGATAACATCACTGTAATCCACGATAAAAATGCATTTAATTGCAATAATATAGTTTATATGACTCACCATCAAAACTGTGTATTACTATCGCTGTAAAGACACAATTGTTGACACTTGTGTTGTGCAAGTGTACCTAATGTTAAGGCCACGTCGAAGCGATCGCTTTACCCCAATGACGTCATTGTCAATTAATTAGATTAATATAACATCACCGATTGTGGAACCGCTTCAAGCAGCGGGTTGCTTCCGTACAACGGAGAGCCACTTATATCCGTCAGTGGCGGTCCGATTCGGGCGGGTTGGACAGAACCGGGCGGCGTCCTCTGAGCATCACCGTGGATCCGCCAATCGGAGCTCAGCTCCGGGCAGATTAACCCGCAGAGCTCCGGCGGTGCTCCGTAGTCGCCCCAGAAACAAGGCTCGCGTCCAGAGCAGACGGGGAGTGTTCGTTATTTGCTCGAACCTTTCTCACATTGATCCACTTTGGTTGTCCTCGGCAAATGTAAGCGAGCAGGAGATGGATGCTGGCTCGACCACAGGGGACAGCACGGATGCGATAGTGATGGATGATTCTTCTACAGAAGAAAGGGACACCCAAGAGGCTTATCACAGGTGGAGTCACTGTGTTATTATCACGATTAAAGAAACCACATTGCTGTGAACAATTAAGTGCACGCGCCGACAGCTTCTATTGTTTTACCAGGCTGGACACTTAATTAGGTACGACGACACCTAATCAAGATCCAAGAGATTGCAAATAGTGCCTTTACGAAAATAATACTGTTCAACGGATTGGTGCATGTCAAAAAGGCATTTATTGAACCGTGGTAATTTATGGATTTATTTAGTTATACACTTGTGTACAATTTTACAATATTCCGACCCTTTCCATTGAATTATGAGGAAAACCTCTCAATGTAAATGCAGCCTAGTCAGTCCAATTGGACCCAATACAGCTCACTCATCAAAGCTGGAGTACCCGGGTGGAAAAAAAACACAGACAAGCAAACTTGACGCAGGCAGGCCTGACCCTGAGATTCAAAACATGAACCGAAGAACTGTGAGGCTTATATGCAAACTACTACAGTATGCACTGTGCTGTTCTTGGGTATGCATATGACAGTAAAATAAGTCTCACTTCTCAGTACGATTATTTCAAACTAAGCAACACTGTAAGTGATGCAAGATGGCACAAGTGTAGCTTTTTTTTTTTTTTTTACATTACAAAAATCTCACAACACATCCATCTATCCATTTTCAACATTGCTCATCCTGAAAAGGTTGATGAAAAGGGTGCTAGAGCCTATCCCAGCTGATTTTGGGCGAAAGGCAAACTACACCCTGAAGTGGTCGCCAGTCAGTCGCAGGGCATCTCACAACACATCCCTGAGCAAAATAGAACCAAAGATACAATGAGTAGATTAAGTGAAATTGCATACTTAACGGCATACTTAATGATCTCTTACCGTGGTTGTGAATCACTGTGCCCTGTGATTGTCTGGCGACCCGTGCACGGAGTATCCCGCCTCTTGCCTAAAGTGCGGGAAGTGGAATAAAAATATGAACGTATAGAATAATGGAAGAACTGTAAGTACAATTGAATATTCCATCTAGCTTGCTTGCTCCGCTACCGGCTACAGAAGCTTGCATAACTGCAGGGCAGCAGCAGTAAATATAAAACAATTCCTTCGTAATTAAAAAGGCACACAAATTGACAACATCTGGGAATGGTGTACCTAATAAAACAGAACCTTTTGTTTTGTGTATTTTTGGATGCTGTGATGTGGAATTGGGTTGGCCCGGCGTAAGGGTGCAATAAGAATTTACATTCAGAGCACGGTGTGACGCTGGATGAAACCTCCATGGATTATTTTTGTACTCATTGGCTGAAATATTGATGACTTGCTCAAATTGTTTGCGTCGTACACTTCTGTGCTCATTGCTGCCGCCTCTCGACATGACAGACAAAACAAGACCTCTGCTAGGGAGTATCTAATAATGATTTAGTAATCCGCTCAAAAGGAGCAGACATTAAACGTGGTTAAAATTTGAGGAGTCTCTGTTACTGGTTAATGTGCGACAAACAACTCAGACCACCGCTTAGGTGCTCTTCTCCATCACTGTGACGTATTAGAGATGCACATTACAGACCGTGAGGTCACTTGCCTGTGTTGATTTACCGTGTCGCCATAGTGACGCCACGATGGGAAGTGCGGTCGCATTGAGTCCACTGTGGAAAAACAAGCAAGTGCCACGCAGGTAGCACACTACGCAGAGCTCTCGTTTACTGACTCAATTTGGACTAGGGAGAATTATTTTCAACTTAAGGGACTTTTTTCAAAGCTTGCTCTTATCATTTTCATTCATTTGTCTCGTATTAGATTACCCTGAAGCCAGTCTGCAGTCTTACATCACGGTGTGTCTTTTTTGGTTTCACGTGAACAATAAGAAAACGAGTCCTGCTGCTGCCTGGTGGCGTTGTGTTCACCGATTAGTTTACAAGATTGGATGCTGGCAAAACAATCCAGCCAGTTGCCATGCATAAAAGCTCAAGGTCCATGAATACCCAAGGATGTGGCGTATCAGCATATCATTAGACGTGACACCGCATGAGTCACATCTGCTCACTCTCTTACTTTCCCATTTCCTGCTTTCTTCTTTAATTACCTGCTTCCAGTTGTCACCGTGTGACACCCGGAGCTCCGTTCTTTGCCTCATTAGCTCTGCTCACAACTACGACTATTTTTATCATTGCTCCCGTGACCCGTCCTCCACAGCGGGATCCCGGTGCTGTCGCTGTGCCCTCCCGACAGCGTGTATCCGGAACAGACCAATCTGAATGCCATCCAAGCTGATCGCGCGCTTTGTGACAGCTACAGCAGCCTCGATGGACCCTCTTCATCCTGCCAGCTTTATCACCAAGTATGTATGAAATATGCTAGCGCTGTGTTTTATGATATACGACGATGGCCACGCATTAGGCATGAGGTCAGTGAGTCATCTGGTAAAATCCTACAGCTGACAATAAGATGGGCTTGGATGGGAAATTTCAAGTCAGGATTACTCGTGGAGTTATGGGCTTGGCCAGGCAAATTTGTAATTCTCTTGTCTACTAACGGTGCCACCTATCAAGCGAAATTACTTTTTATGAAGGAAAATGAGCATGACTGGAGTGAGCCATTTCAATTCAATCCAATTTATGGAGTGAGAGGCTTGGCATGACCAATTTGTAACTTTTAAATCTACGTAACAAAAGAATTACCATGTCTTGAAATTCCATGAACTAAAATAGGGACGGCCAACTTAAATGTTGGAGGGGGCCCCGATTTTTCATCCGTGCTACTTTGGTGGGGCCACATAGGATCACACGCTTCGCAAACAGATGTGTGACAAAAATGCCATTTTAACTATGGATTAAAAAAATGTGCTTATGTGCGCAAAATACAGGCTCTTTCATAACTTCATTTTTATAATACATTTCTCAATGCATGTATGAAAGATCCCTGATCCTAATCCAACAACAAAAGGTTTAAATCGAACAAAGGGCTCTCTTGCTTACAAATGACTATTCAAGGACAACACAAAACTGCTGAACTGCAAACCAACTAATTTTGTGCATTTTTCCCCAAAAATCAACTCACTCAGGTTTTTTTTCCCCAGTCCGCAAAAAAATTATTAGGCCTACTCACAGTATGACAACCGGTATAAGTGCAACCAAGTCATGTATACCATCTCGTACTGAATGGTGATATTACTACTTATACCTACAGTCGACTCCTGCATACTCACGGATTGGTACCCATGGATTTGCATTATTTTTTCAGTATTTAATTTTCTGTGGGGGCATTTTCTGTTTTGCCAGATAGTTTTTCCACATTCACCATAATGAGTATTTATCAGTTTTTTTTTCAGAATTTCTTTTGGGGGGGGTAAGGGGGGGTTGAAAAAAGTGTGGGGGGGGCTTCTGTGGTGGGGGTGGCTAATTAAGTCAATCCCATTGTATGAAAGGTTTAGTTTGTCAAACCTAACTTAAAATAGCACCACCATTTGGTGGAATTCTAATCTCGAAACGATTTATTGTGGAGGACAGTGGAGTGGAATTGTGAGAAATTTCAAGTCAGTCTTACCTGTGGAGTGACAGCTTTGGCCTGTCAGGTTTGTCATCTTCAAATCTAATCACAGCGCTATAGTTTTGTTGTTAATTTTATTGCCCAAAATATTTCTTGTTGAGAACAGTTTGATTGAGAATTTTCAAGTCTAACATACAATATAGAGTGATGAGCTTGTTCTGTCAAATTCTGTGAACTGAGGTGGACTCCTATTTCAAGTCAGATCACTTCATGGAGTGAGAGGGCTAGCCTGTAACATTTTTAACTTCCAAGTCGATTAACAGCGTCATAATCTATTGACACTACAGTCTAAGGTCCAGAATCATTTTTGAAAGCTGGACTTGTGTGGGAAATTTTGGAAACGCAGGTCTTACCAGATAGACATCTCTCCGAGGTCTCTTTTGCACTGCCTGGAAGCATTTTTTTTCTTCTCTCTCGCCTGCATGTAGGTTCCTCAGGGTCAAGCTGAGCTCTGTAAATGCCCCCACTGCAGCCCGTACGATGCACTCGAGGCAAGCGCGTGCTGCGAGTCAAACAGCACCAGCGGCGCTCACACAGGGGCAAGTGCGGCGGTGCGAGTGGGCCACAGCTGTAGTTCAACCCATCAACGGTCTCACCAGAACGCTGCGATGGACTGCCACTGGCTGCATGGATCCAGTGAAGGCGGCGCACAGAGACCTACGCAGCAGCACGTGGTAACACTTGGGTGTGTTTACCGACTTTATTTCTATTTGTAATAACGTTTGAAACGTGCTATCTAAATAAAAGCGTCTTGCTGTTTTGAACAGGGATGGAGGACTTGACTGCTTTGTGAGAAAGTAAGAAAAGACTGCTTTTTTTTTTTTTTGGGAGAGAGAGCTATTGCATGTCCCACTTGCAAGGCCCAAATCAACTACAACAGTCACACTTATAATTTGTGAAGTGACCATCTTCATGATATTTCCTCAAGTAGTCGCCATGCCACTGATGAAATTTTACCTGTCTGCAGCTGGGTAAATAAAGACCCCTAGCCAATATTTGCAGAAATCCAATGTCTTTGTAAATTTTACAGGTCTTGAATTGTAGTTTCCCATTGTGCCTATTTGCATAAAAAATGTAAAAAAGAAACACTTACTCCGACATTGACAGCTTCATCATTTGCGGTCTTCATTCCTACCTCCGCTTGACAGTTATTCCCAGATGCTGGTGAACTACCCATTCGAGGTTCTCCTGGGATGTGCGTTGCTGCTACTCGGATGTTCTCTGGCCGGCCTCCTCATTGGACCGCTGCCAGACTTCTCCGAGCCTCTGCTGGTGAGTGGTTGAGAATTTTGCCCTCGTTAGGATATTTTGTCTGACGTACAAAAAGACAAGCAGTTGCATGTTCAAATGAGACCAGTAGGTCACGGTTGGGGTCATCGCGGTACAAATTCAAGTATAGGGGAAAAAGTCAGACCGCTTATTAAGCTCTGAGGCGTTCAATGTAGAATCGCATTTTTTTTTCCACCAGAAATAATAGAATTAGCTGAATTAACCCTTTCATGCACCAATGATGATGACCTGTAACCAGATAGATGTTGCTAAAAAATAACATGTTAAAACAACAAATTGCATACTCACCCTTTGATGTTCAGAGTCATTGAACACAGCTGTTGCCATGCAGTCCCATCTGTTGTGGCATCAAAAAAAAAAAAGAAAAGGAAAACAAAATCTAATGGAAAACACAAAACGCCTTTCGAATCTGAAGTTTAGAGATTTGCTCAAGTCTGCCCGATACCTGCTTTAAAACCAGGACTATTTTTCTTGGAAACTTTGGTCAAACTTGAAATTGGAGGACATTTGGGTTGTTCAAATTTCCAGGTTCCACTGCAACCAGAACATTTCAGTTGTCCACACAAATCAGTGCAGTCCTTTTCAAACACAATTCTCATAAGAACGGATTTTTTCGGGAAACTCGTTCACAGCCAGGAAACAATTTGCTGTTTACGCCAAAGCATACAGCCTGTAAAATTGAACTCGCCTTGGGAAACATCTCTTTGAAACTGAAATACTACCAATTCCGGACCACCTCGGGTCGATGGTTAATTAACTTTTTCCAGAATGACTTTGGTCACATCTTGATCATTCTTCGCAATGCGACACTAAATCAGATGTAGTGACACGCTCTGTGATCTTGATGAATTTTAATTAAAGAAAGAAGCGAGGCATTCTCACTGGAGATAAATGAATAGGGAAAATCAAATGTCCTGTTCGTAGTGTCAGTTGAGGACAATCCACGTGTAGCTGAAGTGTAACCGAAAACAGCTGCGTGACTGCTGCGGAGAAGCCGATCTCGAGCATCCACAGAGTCGTCTTGTTTTGATTTGTCTGGGTTTTTTTTGTTGTTTTTGTGTGTGTGTGTGTGTGTTGTTTCTTCAGGGCTTTGAGCCACGAGGAACAAACATCGCAGTTCGTCAATCCAGCTTGTCCAAGCTGCAGGAGAACACTGGCCCGGGGAAACCATTGTCTCTTTTGCCACAGCAGCTCAGCAAAAGGTCAGCGGAGAGTTTGGGCGGAAGGCACGCTTCTCGAGACAACAAGCGCTATTCCGCACGGACAGATTTTACAGATGACATGAGAACAATTCCCTCTCAGTGCTGTGAAAGTCACAAGTCTTGATAGTTTCATGATGTTCTTGGCGGTAATCATTTTGAGATGGTAAAGCAGTAAACAATAGGACAGTCTTGTGTGACTTGCAGCCGTGGAGATGTCGTCCACAACGCCACTGGATTTCGATTCAAGAGGATGCTAGCCAGAGACTCGAGTTCAGAATCATTCCTCTGTGACGCACCTGGTGAGTTCGGCTTGACCAGAAGTCTGCCTCATTTTTATTTTTGCACATGTAACAATACTGTATGTTTGTTATTGTGGGGTTTTCGCATTACACTAAGAGATTTTTATTTTGGGGGGGTCGGGGGGTAATTTGCATTTGAGAGGCAAAATGGGTAGTGAGGCTACTGTCGCTGTTATCTTTGTAAAGGCAGAAGTAACTATCGAGCGGTTTGATCGATTCAGATCTCCATTTCTGACACATGGTTCAATCCATGGTTCCATTTTTTTAAATGAACCCTTTCAGGGACTGCGGTTACTACAGTTATCGTGTTATCAGGTTACAGGGTGCATGAAAGGGTCCATAAACACAATGTGAGATGAATTTATTTATTTATAAAAAAAAAAAAAAAGATATCCGTATAAGGAATACACTTGTCTGAGTAGACTGTGTTCTCTTCTATGCCCCACTTGAAATAATTTCGGGACGGTGTCTTTGAAGGTGCATGAACACATTAAGACGTGTTGCCCGTGACGTAGAGAAGCACATTTTGAGGCTTGCTGACAACACAATTTCCTTCTCTGCATACAGCTGAGTTAAATGAGCTTGGAATGGCCGCAATTTTATGGTTATTAGTTAAACTAGCTATCTTTGCTCCGCTCCTCCGCTCAGCTATACAGTATGTACTTATATAGTTGAACTATCATTAGCTGTAGCCACAGTTTTGCTAACTCCTGTCAAATGACCGGCAACAAATTAAGTGGTGACACGACACGCTGTTGGTTGGAGGTTCACTGAAGAAATATATCTGAATAATTATTCATGTTAATTATATTATGGATTGTTTCACCGTACGCTCCCGTGGCACAAACTGGGAGTTGGAAGAGGAGACGCAGGTTTGCGTCTTACTGTACGTTTTTGGTTTTGATACTGAATCCTCACAGGCTTAGCGCGACTAGTTTTGTTTTATTGAATGCCCGAAATCACCGAATTGTTTTAAATGCCAGAAGAAAAGGATGACTCCTCAGTTGTCATGTTATATGTTGAGTCAATCTGTCTCCTCCTCACAGGCGAGCATTTGGCGCAGCTCGTGTTCCGCTCAGAAAGCTCAGCCAGTCTCTGGAGCCTGAAGGCCATCCATGCCATGTGCGAGATGGAGCAATCCAGGGTATGATCTGATTTATAACTCGTGCATCCATTTCAGCATTAGTCTTCAGCCATCTGCTTGCTTCCTAGGCTCCTCAATCACTCCGGTCAACAAATGTATACTAATTTGTTTCATCGGAGATGCAAGTGTACTATAAAATTTGTTTTGTTTTGTTTTTTTTTTGCACCGATTAAGAATCTGCCCTTGTTTTTTTTCTTCTAGCACATCAGATTTTCATACTACAGTAATTACTATGACTGCTACTTTTGACAATAATAATAATAATAATAACAATGATAATTTTAAAGAGATGTAATGGTGAGGACTTCAGTAATATTTATGAATTAAGTGTTACATTCAGCAACAGGTGGAATTGTTTTTTTCTAAAAAGTCATAGCCACAAATTAGAACACCTGGTAAAATCTAGATTGCACAAGCTTTTGGTTCATGGAGAAAAAAAAAAAAAGAAAATATCTCAAAAGGCCAATGTGTTAGAACAAAAAAAGTGAAGCCATCTCTGATTCAAATTTGCTGTTGACCAGCATCATCATCCCATTTTGAAATCCTTGGGAACATTGGCTCTCATGAAACTTAACTGGATAATTAGTCACAGAACGCTTTCAAAAACGTCTCCCTTGTTTGTCTCAGATACGCTCCAAGGCACCGTTCCAGGATGTGTGCCAGCAACATATGAGAGGCGAGGCTGAGATGGCATCAAGAAGCAGCTGCTGTCCCAGCTGGTCCCTGGGAAATTACTTAGCCGCCCTCACTAACGCCTCCTTCTGCCTTGACCTCACCGCACAACAGGTAGCAAACACAGACCTGCTGACACACCGGGGATCCATTTGGCCCAGCGATTCCTTTTTGACATGTTTGAAAGCCATTTCATGTCGAATGAATTGTTTTCCCTTAGGTCTCGGAGGCGCTTCACCTCCTCCGCAAGTGTGCGCCGTACTACCATGATGGACATCTAGCGGAGGTCTGTTTTCAGAGACCCAAACATGGCAGCTGCTCTTCTGTCCCGTCACGCTGCAAACAGTCCCGCATAGTGTTCCAAATCTTGCACTTCCTGGTTGATAAAGATTTCCTGGGACCGCAGACGGCCCAGTATCAGATTCCCACCCTCAAATACAGTCTTCTCTTTCTACCGGTGGATAAGGGGGAACGCATGATGGAGATCTACATGAGGAGTCTAAAGGGAAGCGATCTGACATATAAGAACACGACGATCACCGGCATGGACCTCGGAATCAAGCAGACACTGTTCAAGTATTATCTAGCAAGAGACTCGGTGTTCCCCATTCTCGCAATCATTTCCCTTCTGATCACAATGGCTCTCTATCTTCACTCTCTCTTCATGGTGGCATTATCTGTGGTAGCAATCAGCGGGTCCCTCCTCACTTCCTATTTCCTCTATAAAGTAGCATTTCGCCTGACTTTCTTCCCACTGGTTAACCTCTCGGCGGCGCTTATTCTCCTGGGAAGTTGCTCCAATCACGTTTTTATCTTTGCAGACTTCTGGAATATGCAGCTGTCCCAGAAGCCCTCGGCGGCCTTGGAGAAGAGAGTACACAGGGTTTTGCAGGAAATGGGCTATTTGATATTAGCTTCGGGGTTGACTTCCAGCGCAGCATTTTGCTCCGGTTATCTCAGCAGCATCACGGCTATCAGATGCTTTGCGGTTTATCTTGGAACCGCCTCGTTTATTAGTTCCCTCTTGGCACTTGTGTGGCTGCCGTGCTCTTTTATCTTGCGTGAACGTTACACGGAAACATCCGCTCGACCGCCGGGGTGGAAGCCCTGTTGTGTCAAGAAGCCAGGCGGCTTCTGGGATGCGGGCTCACGCAAGCGGTTCCTTTTCACATTTGGGCAGAAGCTGAGAGAACTAAAACGAGGTCTCGCTGACACGTCCAATTTAGTGTTCCTCAAAATCCTGCCTTGCGGAGTGGTCAAGTTCCGATACATCTGGGTGTGCTGGTTCGCTGTGCTGGCTGCGGGTGGCACCTACATGTCCTGCTTTGATCCAGGAATGAAGCTGCCGACACTCGACAGCGCAATCACTCAGCTTTTCCGTTCCAGTCACCCATTTGAGCGATACGATGCGGAATATCGTCACATGTTTATGTTTGACCGACAGATGAATGGAGAAGATCGGCCTGTGACACTGATGCTTGTTTGGGGCATCAAAGCCACCGATAACGGCAATCACTTCAACCCAAAAAGTAACGGCTCTTTGGTGCTCGATCCTGACTTTACAATGAGTCGATCTCACGCTCAGGTTTGGTTGAGGGACCTGTGCGGACATGTGCAAAACCAAAGTTTTTACTCTGCGCCTTCCCCTGGGGACAAAGAAGCCATGACAGATAATATCTGTTTTGTGGAGCAGCTCTTGCATTGGGTCTCTCTCAGAAGGTGCTCGGGGAGTGACGTCACACTCCATATTTGCTGTAACAATGTCACGTTCCCTTTCCCTCCTCGTGTTTTTGAGAAGTGCCTGAGCATGATGTTGGCGGAGAGGCACGCCGAGGGCCATTTGACACATGGCGGCGGGGTGTACTTCCAGCCAGATGGTCGGATTGCCGCCCTCGTGCTGGCATTCAAAACCACATACCGCTACAGCTTCAACTTCAGCCAAACAAAAGTTTTCTACAGAGAAACCCTGGCGTGGTTTAACAAAGAAATATCGGGGGCGCCGGCAGGGTTGGAAAACGGCTGGTTCATCAGTCAGCTGTCTCTCTTTGACCTCCAACAAGCACTGAGCTCGGAGATGTTGCTGGTAGCTGGCACTTCGGTGTCTCTTACGTTTGTTTTGCTGCTCTTAACCACCTGCAATGTTCCCTTAAGCCTGTTTGGGACGGTGGCAGTAGGTGGCAGCGTGTTCGTCACTGTCGGACTGCTGGTTCTTCTGGAGTGGCAACTGAGTGGCATCGAGGCTCTCCTCATCTCATCTGCAGCCGGGTTATCTGTTGACTTTGTGGCCAACTATTGTATGTCCTATTGTTTTGCACCGCACTCAGACAAAATCGGGAAAGTAGCACATTCGACTAAAATGATGGGCTGTCCTGTAGCAATAGTTTCTGGCGCATTTTTCTGCACTGGGATCATCATGCTGCCTTCGACAGTCTTGCTCTTCAGGAAATTGGGAATTTTCTTGTTTTTGGTGAAATGCGTAGCATGTGGATTTGCAACCTTCTTTTTCCAGTCACTGTGCTGCTTTTTTGGCCCTCAGAAAGGACGTGGGAGAATTCCAGTCCCGTGTTTGTCGGACCCGTCTGGGGGATTGCTGTCATATTGTTCAGGAGCAGAACCGGGCCCCGTGTCTACTCACGGGGCCTTAGGAGGAGCAAGCGCAAAGCAAACTTATGACAAAGACACGGGTTGTTACCTCTACCCAAACCAACAGAGGCTGAAACAGACGGGAACAGGAGGCGGGGTCAGGGGCCCAGAGCAGTACGAGCTGCAGCCTTTGGCCTATCGACTGAGTGACAGCTTTGAGAACAGCACTTGCACAAGTAAGCTGTCCAATAGGCCGTCCGTGCTCTCTGATGAGATTGAGTACTGTGGCAGGGATGCATCCTTGGATGGGGAAAGTGGGGACATGTGTCGTCACCAAGCGCCTCCAGCTCTGCAGACTTCATCACCATACAAAGAGAACCCAACACGATCCGTATGCCTGGCAAAAGATGACATGACCAGTGGCAAGAGGCTCTGTAAAACCTGCCAAAATCGTTCTAATACGCTGCAGCAGTGGACCAATAAAACATTTTCATCCTCCTCCAGCATGGATGAAACTGTAGTTAGCCACACACTGGAGACCACTGACCAGCCATGTCTGTGCACAGAGGATCAAATCACAGAAGAAAGAATCCTTCAGCCCTCCTCGCAGTCTCTGAGCTCCTGCGAGTTTCTGGATGACTCCAACGAAACATGTTTGAGTGACATTGAACCGGGGTCTTCCAATGCCCAGCAAAGCGTCGGAGAAACTCAGTTACAACCGGGACACCTGAATGGGAAGAGAGACACTCTGCGTCTTTCACTCAAAGAGACAGTTTATGAGATGGGTGGTAAAGGTCGGAGCAGTCAGACTGAGGAAATTGTTATTTTACCCAACAGTAAGCCAGACCTCCCGGATGTTTGGATAAAGAGAGATGGACAACGGGATGATGCGCTATAAGCAGAAGACATGCATGAATAGACTTAATTGGTGTCTTTACGCAAGTATATGGAAACTAACTCATTTGGCCAACAAAAAAACTAAAGCCAACCATCCACTCAAGCATGATCACCTATTGCAAAAGCTTGTGTCCGCACATGTATCACTGGCCTTTTACATTTATCAACAGTCCCCCCACCCCCCCCATAAAAAATGGAAAGATTTGACCACAGATTACATTTAATCAAAACAATAGTGACTTCCTTCCAAAATTAATGTTTATAAAATTTGCGCAAAGTTGGGTCAAGTCACTGTCAAAACCTTACTAGACTACCAACAAAACAATATCAGAAGGAACAATCAGAAGGAACAGTAAGACATCATATGAAACCATCATCGACGTAGTACTCCAAAGATACCGAGTGTCAACTGGAAGGCCGATTGAGGGAAAGAAATGTGGAATAACACGCAATTGTAGTTACAACATTGGTCAATAGGGGGCTTTTGCTGGACAAGAGCAGAAGGCCGATTGAGGGAAAGAAATGTGGAATAACACACAATTGTAGTTACAACATTGGTCAATAGGGGGTGCTCTTGTCCAGCAAAAGCAACAAACGTATTCACATCCAGATTTTTGAAGATTACAGTACTGTATTTATATTTAAGGTTTAAATATCTGTGTAGTCTGCTAAAGTTCAGACAAACCAGTTTCAACTACAATCAAAATTGATTCAAATCGGTAAGCAAGTGTGATGGTCTTAATGCATTAGTTTTGAGTTGGCTGGACCACAATGTTTGTCTCTTGTGGCCATTGAGGAAACGATCAGTTCAATGTTTGTCAATTGTCAAGAGTTGCTGGCAAAGTGTGCTTGTGCTTTAAGTGAACGTTTACGTATGTGTGGGTTTCAGTATATCATAAGAATCCATAAAATGTATTTGAGTTATGATAATGAAAGAAGAGTCATTGCTGACTTTGTTGCAGCGTTGTTGAAAAAGAAAAAAAAAGAGGGTAAGGGGGCAATTTTCTTTGGAACAGAAATGTTTTATCTTTGCCCAGACCCCAACTGTATCATTTCGTGTTTCATTACAAAACAGAAATGAACAAAACGTGCCAAACATCATGAATTGTATATGCAAAAATAGCTGTTTATGTGCGCAAGGTACATGAAAGTGTTCGTATTGTGATGTCATAGTTGTGTCTCAGAATGTGACGACTCCGACTTGTTTTGCCAACGGTCTTTATTCCAACTGCTGTAACAGGTATTCGCATTCAGTCAACTGCTACTTTGCGACACTGCTGTAACATTGTGTAGCAGTATGGTATACGACAATATACAGTACTGTACTACAATAGTGAGTGTAAAATTGAAGTATTCTGTCTTGAGGTTCAGAAAATTGTCTCGGAAACCGATATTGCATTGTGAACCGGGATGTTTCACACGGGTCCGAATTCGAGTCTTTGGTTTTAAGTACCTGCCGAGACCAAGTCCGATACTTAATTTGGCAACGCATTAAGAAAAAAAGAATGTGAATCAGATTTTCTAAAATTAATAGAGAAATATACATACAGATATGTATACACATCACTTTGTATGTGTTGCATGTTGTTTTATATAAATTTACATTACATGGTACTTTCCACCAAATCAGTGCCAATTGCTTTGTGTATCACTCCCAAAATCAACTCAAACTTGCTCTATTAGCGTGACTAACGACCCCGCTCCTAATTAAAACATAAAAATCAGAAACATGACATTGTACAATGTAAAACCAAACCATGTTGTGTTAGCACGTTTGGATTATTTTGTAGCGTTTTGATAATAATCATAATAATAATAAAATAAACGATCCTTTTCATCATATGCCGGCTCAGTTGAAAAATCACGTGATCGCCCTCGATTTGCGATCACGTAATTGGATCGGGACGTTCCTATTTGTGACAATTTAACGAGCCTTCGCAACAACTTCATCGGACATGTAGAACGTATTCATTTATTTCAGGCTTCTGAAGTTAATGTAATGCAGGTCACACTGCCTTTAACAGGTCTTGAAACGGTTACATTTTCCATTCAGATGAAATTAAACATTTTCCTGCAGTGAGTTTTATTTGCTTTCATTTTTTTCCACAGCTCATTTACAACTTATTACCCTTAAGCTAAAAGAATTAAACAGAAAACAAAGTCATTGTCATTCTCATTGTCCGATAGCCTCACACGTCCACTTTATCAGAATTTCTAAGATTCTGCTGCATGTACGTACTATTGCGCAGCGAAACTATGAAAAAAAAAAGAGCATCTCCATTGACTCTCATACATGCCCTTCAAACTCATGCAGTACTTCCACTTCAGACCTCACCTTCCCATTCACTTTGAAGATAAGAGCTGATTGCTCATACTTTCTTTTAATCAACCATGTGTCCACAACTTTGGAAAATGAATTACCGGTACTTTTTTTTTTAATGTGGCAATATTGGGAAGTTATATTTGAGAGAAAATCAGGTGGCTGAAAAATTAGGCTATGTAAAATGTAAACCCAAACAGTTAATTTCATCTTGATACACATTCTTACAAGCTTAGTATCTTCTTCTTCTCCTTTCGGCACGTCCCTATTCAGGAAGGCCTTTTAAGTAACTGGATTTATTCATCATGGGAAAATATTCCTTGAACATTCACGATCAGAAACACTCCATACAGGTTGGCTGAAACATTTCTGGAGCTGAAACTTGGTCATTGTCACTATAAAGTGTCCTTGGTGTCCTCATCAGAATTGCCCTGTCATTATGAAAATGTAGCAGAAAAATGAAACTCTAAGGCCCAATCATAAGTGGCCAATCATTTTCACATACCAGTACAAAATAAAAATAAAATTGTAATGTCCTTTCTTCATCCTATGCCATCTTTTTCATTGGATGCATGTGATTTGTAGCATGGCCAACAAATGTGGTTGGTACCAGATGGGAACGCTAATTCTTGTAAGAACAGAAGGCAATAAAACAAATGCATATTTTGGAATATTTTTCCAGTCAACCCCCCATGAAAATCACGGCAAAATTCATCTCATGTGGAAAGCAATGACTCTTTCAGTGGAGTTCTTGGATCAGTCCACTTCCAACCAGTCATCTTTGGCCCAGTCAGGTAACCGTGTAGAATATTCAAAGTCGGGTCCTTTGTAGCGCAAAGCGTGTAAGTACATGATGAGTTCTTTTTCGGTGGGGTCAGCTCGTACTAGCTTGCACTCACTACACAGGGGGTCTGTTCTTGTCTGCATTTGATCTTCATGTAATGTATCTGGAAGAGGGTCCTGAGATTCTTTAAGAAAGATGTTGTCACTGACAACATCTGAAGCACATGCCGCCTCCTTCACATTGGCCTGCGGTATTATTTTACCAGACTGTGACTGGTGAGTTTCTCCACTCCTCTCAGCTTCACGTGAACCATCTCCCAGATTATTATCCTTCTGTCCCTCTTGAGACAACATGCTGCCATTGTCAGTTCCATCCAGCAGGTGGAGGACCTCTTGGCCCTGATGTTCCTCAACCAGAGCTTTGAAGAGCTCCTGATCACTCTTTCCCACCAACCCCCCTTTTCCCCTGTGAGGACCCCAAGCGGAGGCACCGTAGATGGGATCATTGAGGATGGGGAATCCCAGGTACTGGAGGTGCACCCTGATTTGATGAGTGCGGCCAGTCAGGGGCAAACAACGCACCACGCTTGTCTTGCCATTAAAACTCAGTCTTTGGAACACCGTCCGACAGTCCTTTCCCTTCGGGTCCACACGGCAGAGCCCAATTTTAAAGGACACAACCAGGATGGGCTCCTCGCAGACCAACTCACCCTCTGGAAACTCACCTTCCACTCGGCACACATATTCCTTTTCAAGCTGTTAGGGGAAAATGCAAGGCTCTAAATGTTCTCCACGCACAAGTGGCAGAAACAAGTCTGGAAGAAAGACCCTACCTGTCTGTCTCTCACCAGCTGGTCCAGTTTCTTCGAGATCTCCAAAGTCCTGGCAAAGAGCAGCACTCCCGAGGTGAGCCGGTCCAGTCTGTGGACCGTGTGCAGCTCCGAGATCCCTCGCTCTTTGCCCAGGATGAAAATCACCGTGTTGTGTCGGAAACGGCCACAAGGGTGGACGGGGATGGAAGCGGGCTTGTCAACCACAAGGACTTTTCCATCGTCCACCAGGACCTCCAGAGGCTTGCCTACGACAGGGGGCTCGTGACGATGGACTGTATTCTCCATGTGGTCATTGTTCTGCGTCAGGGACAATGCGGTAGCCTCAGTGTTTGCATGTTAATGTGAAACAATTACTGATTTTAACTTGGTTTTCATCAAACTGTTTTGTAAACAGAGGACCACTTGTACTGAAGGAAGTCACTTACAACACATCGGATGAACAGCATGATTTGAGCAGACTTACAGTCAAAGTAAATAGACTCCATCTTCACCTATTGTTGAAGCTAATCTAGGGCAAGTATTGTACACTTGCTGCCTCGAGAGTTGTATGAGACAAAATACTTGATTAAATGTGCATAATAACACTGGCTTAAACTTTTTTTTTTTGTTTTTAAATCATGCTCAGTACATTTGTCAAGAACAGGTCAGTTGTATTTAACTTTGCAATTATTTTTTTTAGAACTGCTTGTTTTTGAACATTTAATTAAGTGCAATGTTTTGTGAAACTTTATTGTGCACTACATTTTAATGGAATGGCTTAGTAGAGTTGTTTTATGATCTTACAATCACACCCAAATATACATTTTAGCAATAAAACCCCTGTCTTGTTTATGCATATATCTTGTTTTAATGTTTTAACTGTTTTTGTAGGTCTGACTTTTATTGCATGGACAGCACTTTGTATGCAGCGAGGGTTGTTTTTAAAGTGCTCTATAAATAGTTGAGTTTATTTTAACACTAGCCTTGCTACTATTCGGCTAGTGTATTTTAGTGTTAGTCATTATGGTGGTACATAAAGCATTGTTGTTAATTATAAGTGGTAAGTAATTGTGATACAAATGTACTAAATGGCTGCGATTGGCTGGCAACCGGTTCAAGAGTTTCCCCCACCTACAGCCCAAAGACAGCTGGGATAGGCTCCAGCACCCCCCGCGACCCTAGTGAGGATAAAGCGGTTCGGAGAATGAATGAATGAATATACTAAATGGTCACCTTGCTGCCTTACTGAAAGCCACAAACTGAGAGACAGATTCCATGTTTTGGCATGATATCCTAAGCATGCAATTAAGTGCTGTATTGTATTTAGAATTATCATGGCACTGACCTTGAGTACCACTGACAGGTCTTCCACGGGGGTCTCATTCAAGCGGATGCGACCCTCTTTGACAGCCTTCTGGTAGTATTCAATGGACTCTGCTCGGAACTCACTCTGAAACACTTCCAAAAGGGTCTTCCCTATCCAGCGACCTTTACAGTAGGTCTTAAAGTCAAAGTAATACGGGTGTACTTTCCGCAGGCCGTCCTCGAAGTAGTACGAGGTCTCGTCGAAATGTTCCTGGCTGAAACTGACACCAGGGTTACGCTTCTGCGGAGGAGGCACATATCTCTCCCCGGGACGGAGCTTCTTTCCTCGGTCTCCTCTGCGCTTTTTTCCCCTGCCGCTCACCTCGTCGCTTTTCCGTTTGCCGGTTACTTTAGCCTCTTCCACAGCGGTTCCCTCAGCTGACACCGGGCTGCTTTCTTCCACCGGAGTGGTAGCTTCCAGTTCCATGGGAGACTCACAACGAATTGTGACGTTCTCTTGTGTAAAAATTGGCCAAAGTGTGAGGCTACTACGACTAGAAAGAGCTCTTTTACGGAAATTAAAAGATAAAGAACTGTACTGAACATATATCGTTTTGTTCACCAAATGTCTTGTGGTTTCAACGCAAAGTAAAAATGACAAGCGTGGAGTTAATTTTCCAAATGCTACGACCGTCCAAGCCGCGTGCATCGCTGGGAGGTTCTTCCCAACAGCAGGCGCACGTATGTGACGTCATTATGTAGTCCGAACAAATAAACACGTCGGTTACAATTTGAAAGAGTAATGCTGGGGCTAAAAATAAGAAATCAGTCAAAACCTTGAATTGTGTTCCGATTTTAATGTTTTTAATTTATGTTATTTTACTGTTTTTTCCCCCTGTGTTGCTTCTATATGCAGTTTACAATTTGTTCTATAAAAAATTGGTGGAAAAAAAAACATTCCAAGTACCACTTCAAAAAATAAAATTGTCTAAATGCCACCATAATGACAACATTGAGATATTGTACTGTACTGTAAGGCTCAAGTGTCGATCATAACAAGGCATCGTGACATTGTGCATTTTGAATATTAGAAGTGTACGGTCAACAAAACAAAAAGAAACCCGTGTATGCACAGATTTACTTTGATGTGTTTAATTGTACAGTATTGCATGTTTTCAATCAATGTTTTATCTGTATTTTTAATTCAGTGATTCTTTTGTGTAGTCGTGGACCTGGTGCCATATTTTGAAAATCATTGCTCTATATCTATATAATTGAACAAAATACTGTACTGTATAAATAAATGACAGTATATGATTTCTATATTAAGTTTCATAGTACATTCAAGTCTATCTTACAAATTTGTAATTAAATTAGACAGTAAAATAAAGTTTAACAGCACACATACTAAACTCAAAGCCACAATTTGTGTAGTAATATTTAATTATCAAACTTTCATTTCAACTTGTGGAACTAAAGTACTGTACTCAGTCACACCAAAGGTTGGGAAAAAACCCCATAAGAAAAAGGTTTTCTCTAATATAATTTATTATCTATTCATAGCTTATGTAACCTATAAAACTAAGGTTCAGTGACAATATAATGAGTATTTTGATATGCTTGTGAAAATTCATACCGATGCATGTTTTGGCACAATACATCATGTTCTTCAAAGTATTGTAGCATGATAGAACAGAAATGTACACACACACACACACACACACACACACACACACACACACACACACACACACACACACACACACACACACACACATCTG